AGCTAGCTACATATATTTTGTTTTTGCCTAAAACAACAAAATGAATACCCTGAGGCCCAAGTGTGTCATGAAAGTCTCAACCCTGTAAATAAAAATAAGAATCTGCGAAATTGTATTTTGAAAATGTCCAAGAATGTGAGAAAAAATAAAGAAAAGAGCCCAGTTAGTCTTTTGTGTGTTTGCAAATTCATTTATTTTCGCACGCTCTCAGCAATTCATTTCCTTTTTGCATTTACTCACAGTGCTTTCAAAAACCTGCCATAGTTGGGGCATATACTTTAGCACAGTGTTGTAATATTTTATTTTGAAAATTATAATGCTTTTAAAAAGGCTACAGTGTTTGATATTTAAAACGAAAAAATCTATTAAGCAGGCTAAATAAAGCGTTACATTTGGAATTGACACCCCGCCTGTTTGAAGAAGGTAACATGCCGTAAACTGTCTTCCTAGTTAAGCATGTTTACTATATTTAGAGTTCCGCCCTTTTCCGTCACTTTTAATTCTTTTAAAAACTTCCTTGGAAAGTGGGGTATGTATTTTGCAATCTAGGCAATACTACTGTGCACCCAACCAGCGTTCATCCCTATGTACATAATCTCATATAAGTTCATTGCTCCCAATCAGAGAAATGATGCACATAACAAATGTAATCTTAGAATAAAGCCAAACAATCTAGATCCAGTCCACAAGGTATGTTTTCAACCTAAAATACAAAACAGTGGGTATTGAACTCCTTCTTTTATCTAAAGATACCACCCACCATCCGCGGGGTGCACACATCAATGCTGAAGAAAAGATTAACAGGTAGAGGGAAGGATATTAAACCCTCTTTCTTATCTAGAGATAGTAAGTCGAACAGCATTTATCTTGCCGACAGAGAAAGCAGATCGTCAACCATCTTAACCCCGGAGTTCCATAGGGGAGTCAGTTAGCACTAAGCATCTGATCAGAAGAGTCGAGTGAAAATATATTTGCCCCTGGCGATTGTCATTTATATTTAGATCAACTTTAGTTGGTCCAACAATAATCGTTTGTATCGTTATAATATAAATATATTGTGAGTGCAACCATGTTTTGTTATTCCACTCAATCTTGGTTTGTAATACTGAATTATTTTTAAGGCAATACTACAGAGACAACAAAATTCTAAAAAAGTATTTAACGGCACAAATTTTGAAAAGTTTTTTTAAAGAAGGGTAGAGGTTAGAGAGCTTAAATGGGAAGTATTATTTCCAAGGTTTTTAATTTTTAGTTAAAAAAAAATTGAAATTGCTGACTCTTAAAAACAGAAAAGCACAGATAAAATTTGTTGAATTGTAAGAAAAAATTTGAATAAAGCACAATGCTGACAAATAAACTGTTCCTTTATTCAACATTTGACTGAATAAAGTTTTAAATTCTAATAAACGGAAAGAAAACGGATAGTGGTGTAATATTGTACAGTACTGTTGGTAGAAAGTGGTATATAATTGTACAGTACTGTTGGTAAATAGTGGTATATCATGTACAGTTGGTAGAAAGTGGAATATTATTGTACAGTACTGTTGGTAGATAGTGATATATCATGTACAGTTGGTAGAAAGTGGAATATTATTGTACAGTACTGTTGGTAGATAGTGGTATATCATTGTACATTACTGTAGGTAGATAGTGGTATATTATTGTACAGTACTGTTGGTAAATAGTGGTATATCATTGTACAGTACTGTTGGTAAATAGTGGTATATCATTGTACATTACTGTAGGTAGATAGTGGTATATTATTGTACAGTACTGTTGGTAGAAAGTGGTATATCATTATACAGTACTGTTGGTAGACAGTGCAGGAATATCATTGTACAGTACTGTTGGTAGATAGTGGTTTATCATGTACAGTACTGTTGGTAGATAGTCGAATATTATTGTACAGTACTGTTGGTAGATAGTGGTATATCATTGTACAGTACTGTTGGTAAATAGTGGTATATCATTGTACAGTACTGTTGGTAGAAAGTGGTATATCATTATACAGTACTGTTGGTAGACAGTGCAGGAATATCATTGTACAGTACTGTTGGTAGATAGTGGTTTATCAATTGTACAGTACTGTTGGTAAATAGTGGAATATTATTGTACAGTACTGTTGGTAGAAAATAATAAAAATTAATATAATATCTATATGAATTTGGGTTGTATTTTTTTATCTGTCTCTCTGTCTGTCTGCGTCAAATAAACGTCTAATCGGCTTAATCGATCAGGCCCATATTTTGTGTGGTAACTCACATTAGCTTTCTCTCTACTTCTTGTTAGTTAACCCTGCATTTGCGGAACTCCTTTAGGCCTCTACCTCAAGGTTATTGTGAACGAAAACCCCAAAATCTTGAAAAGACGACATATAGTGTTCTATCTGTAATGTTTTTAATCGATGGTTTAACCGAAAGATAAAATAATAAAAAAATGTTTGTAAAACTTGATGAAAAAAGTTTCTTTAAAGCAATGTGAACATAAGGTATGAAAGAAAATTGCTTCCTTTTTCTGCATATAAATGTTAGAATTATACTACAGTCTACGTACGGTACGGTATATTAAAGTTTGTAATGTCTCATTTTATTCTATCCTTGTTAGATCTAAAAAAAAATATATAAACTATACAGACAGATTTCAGAGGTTTCACGTTCAAAATCATAAACTATACGTTTTTTTAAAATAATAAGGCAATATATTTTTTCTTCTTTGACAAACAGATTTTAATTTCCAAATATTAGATTGATAAAAATCGCTAAAAAATCGTGATATAATTGATAAACAAAACTTTCATGCAGTCATTATACCTTAACTTCGGACCCCATTTTTCCCCGTAAATGAAGGTTTTTTTTCGCATTTACTATTTTATACTTTTTTGTTGGACTTACTACAGTACAGTACACACTAGTATGAATAAAAATTTACATATAAAATTATTTGCACACTATTTTTCGACAGATTTAAAGAACACAAAATTGAACTTATTTTACCGTAAGATAACCACTTTATTCCAAGATTATCACTATTATTAATAATTTTGTCGGACACAAAAAAAACTGTTAAAACTTGTGACGTAAAAATGACTCTTTACTGAGAGTCTACAAATTCTACGTTGCCATCTATTGTACTAGAATCTATTGTACTAGAATCTATCGTGCTTTAATCTATTGTACTAGAATCTATTGTACTAGAATCTATTGTACTAGAATCTATTGCTTTTGTAATATCTTTGCGCAACAAGTTTAAAAATTGTTAAAAAGCAATATTATAAGGTGTGATCTAATTTGTATTTAAGTTCTCTTTACTATATAATACATTGAGAACATGAACTGTGGTAACGAAAGACGACATTAAAGCAATATTATGTGCAATCAATTTTGTTACAATTCAGACATTTTTACAACAGTGGTAAGCCTTGCTTTCCTTACTTTACAGCAGTGCTTAGGATCCGAATCCGTTGGATCCGCAAGATTTTGGCTGAAAAAATATGCGGATCCACGGATCCGGATCCAAGTGGTAAAATATTAACCAAAAACTGCAAAAAAAAAACTTTTTTACTCCTGAACCCAAATCTGAACTTTTAAAAATAAGAGAGATTATAAAAATTTCCTCATTTCTGAATGGTTCATCAAGTTTTACTTAATAGAAAGAACCGAAAAAATAAAAAAAAATTAACTTTTTTTGTTTAAAAAATTTAATAAATCTTAATGAAATGACCCGGATTCATTTTTTCCAGTGCGGATCCAGGATCCATATCCACATAAAAATTCAATGGTCTTCTTTCCAGTTTGCATGTAAACAAAGGGAAGCTGTGAATCAAAAAGGGAAATATTTTTGTTTTTAAAATATTATTGTTTTAAAACATAAAAAGATTCATGCTTATTAATTGGTTTCTATTTTTTGGGATATTTAACCCTGATATGACACAGCTGGATAAAATATGCAGTACACATTTTGATAACATGAGAACTGCCTTTGCCAGTTTATTTCTTATGTTTCCGTACAAACAAAACCAGTCAATTTTGTGTCATAAAAATTTTTTTTATATTGAAAAGATAAATTGCCCGTCAAGCTCACAGCTTCCTTTTGTTTACAATTAACATGTAAGCTGGATAGAAAGCAAAGCTGCACTATAATGTCGTCTGTATTATTTTGATAAATAGGTTCACCACTGTAGTAGCTTAAAAAGTACTTTTTTAAAGTGAAATGGCCTGTGCTTGCTGCAAAATCTTAATTGATCTTTTCTAAATCATATCTTCAGTCTAAAAGTCGTATTCCTATTCCACACTTCCACACCACACCACACCAATATTCTCACAGTGGGCATACTGAGATATAAATAAAAGTATTTTGTATAAATATGCTCACGTGACATAATACATATATGTACAATGTGCAGTATTTATAGATAAAGTATCTGATAATCCGGTATATTTACAGATAGATAGATAGATAGATAGATAGATAGATAGATAGATTTACAGAGAACAGAAGGTTTCTGTGTTCCTCATATTACCCCTAGGCCCTAGGATTCAGTAGGATACAGATACATAATATCATTTATATTATCTGTATCTATTTTCAAATTTAGCTTGTCTGTCTTTTTGCTTGTTTGTTTGTATCCAATAAACGACAAAACGGCTGAACCAATCGGGCCCGAATTGTGTGTAGGACCTCACGTGACCTCAGGGAAGGTTTATGAATGATCAAAAATTTTAAAAATTTNTAAATATCATAAATGACAATGATAATGATAATAATTATAAAGTAATTTATAGTAATAAATACCTTACTAAATATCATAAATGACAATGATAATGATAATAATTATAAAGTAATTTAAAGTAATAAATACCTTGGTAAAAATCATAAATGATAATGATAATGATAATAATAATAGTATGAAAAAGGATAATAATAGTAATAGTAATTATAATTAGCAGCTGTTGCCCGTGGAACTTGAATTGATAAATAATAGTTATATTATTAATTTCTCCAGGAGCCTGTAGTACCCGAGCAGTGCGCAGCCGTCACGGAGAAACTTGGGGAATATCTAATCACTGTCGGATACTAAACCTTCTCCGGGTTCATCGGAGAACTAAGCCATCTCCGGGTTCATTGGAGAACTAAACCATCTCCGGGTTCATTGGAGAATTAAACCTTCTCCGGGTTTATCGGAGAACACAACCATCTCCGGGTGTATCGGAGAACTAAACCTTTTCCAGGTCTAGCGGAGAACTAAACCTTCTCTGGGTACATCAACGATCTAAACCATCTCCGGATACCCATCATAGCTGAACCGAACCTTGTTCAAATATTAAATTGCTCCTGGTTGGTTTCTTGGCTCTCCAGTTTTTAGCTCAAGCTCAGCAATCCTGTTCAAATACAAAGGAATTGAGTCTTTGAAACAAACTCTGATTTTCTAATCACTATATTCTTGGAACCAAATGTTGCTGACCTTAGATATTTCAAACTATGAATTCTGTTAGCTCAAATAATCTGAGTTTGAAATATCAAAGGTTTAGAACATCGGGTTCTGAAGCTATTGAGGTTTAAATATTTGATTTTGTTCCAAAGACTCAATTCCTTCAAGGGACTATTTTATATTTAAAGTAAACCTACTTCAAAACTATTCCTTTTATTGGAGCCTAAAGTTTTAGTTATAAAAAAGTATTATATAAAACAAGATTAAGCATAACTTGTAGAAAGCAGTCCCTTTCAGACAGTTTTATGTTCATTTTAATGTGTTCAATGCATTTTTACGATTACTTGATATTAAGATTTAAATAAATTTCCCAGTTTTACTAATTATTTTAAATATTAGTTTGAGGGACAGAACTACCAAGCTTGACTTACAACGGTACCCTTGAAACCTTTATCGATCTGATCAATGATCTAGGAGATATTGTCGTTTTTCTAGGTTTAAAACCGTCTGATAATTCCTATATGTTCTCCTGCAGTATAGGAACGCAGAAGTCTTTTTTGAAAAGAAACCATGCAATTGAAAAAAATTTGTTTTTTAAAATTATAAACATTTATATATAACTAGCTCTTGGCTCTGCCCAGGTTACTAAAAACCCAATTCCATCCTATTTTACCGGAAAGTTTTCGCTATTAAAGTCGACCCACTCAACTTAGGGGTCTCCCGAGTTCCCTAATCAAAATTTGATGCATCTCGGTCAAGGGGTTCCTGAGTTATGATCGGTCAAACAAGCAAACAGAGATTACAACTTTATATACGTGCTTGACCACTGAACAGACAAAGCTTTATAGGCTTTCCCATATATACATGGAGGGTGTCTAGAAATATGTTAAAACTCCCTGAACCCCTAACTAAGATTTCAGTACGTTACTACAGTAATTTGCAGTACTCTGACTGAAAGAAAAGTTGGGGTTAACCTTATCCCTGGAAAAACAGGATACGCTTGGGGGGTCCAATTTGACCCCCCCCCCTTCTAAATCCCATGTTTTATGTCCAAATATGATACATCATTGGAAAGCGCTAATAGTCTAATTCTAGAGTCTGTAAAAAATTAGCAAATTTGGAAAAATTGAATTTTTTTTGCAAAATACAGTTCTATATAGTAAAAATGTTTGCGAAAAAAAAAATTTCCAAAAAATGATGAAATATTCATTTTGAAAAGCCCTTGACCATGCAATTTCAAATATGTAAATTTTGCTAAATTTTAAATAACTTGATGTGTAATTAAGAAAAACTAAAAATGTGCAAATTTCTTTGCAAAACTTGTACAATCCGTTTCCCTTCCCTATGTCATAGCTAAAGCTTTAAGTTATCAAAGTCTGACAACTGAAAGTGGGTCAAAACAAAGAATTAGTTTGTTACAAGAAAAATTTGTCATTTAGGGGTTATGCCTGAGAACTCAGGCAGTTAGTATAAAAGCCCGATTTTAGACCTTAAGGGAGGGCTATGGCTATTTAAGAAAAGTCAGAAAATTTTAACAGCCTCAGATCAATACTTTTTGAGTTATGTAAAAAAAACTAAAAACTAAAGGGGGGGGGGGTCAAATTGACCTCCCCCCCCTCTCAGCAGGAATTTCATAAAGCTTTACAATTCTCTGAAGAAACTGATTACTCACCAAAACATAAACCTTTGCTCCCTGATGGCGTTCAGATCTCAAGGTGCATTCAAAGTTTAAAATATCAAATGTTAAACCACCAGGTTGCAAAGATAATGGAATTTAAAAAAACTGAGTTTAAGTCAAGTTATCAGTTCTTTTATGAAATTCACTGTAAAATAATTTAGAATTTTGAACGTAAAAGAGGTTATTATATATATTTTAGAGAGTAAGAACGAGTATGATATTGTTTTTTTAATATATCTTTAATAAACAGATATTTATATTCAGGAGACTGAATGATTCCTGGATTACAGTTTTCTTGTTCGAAGATTTATATCTTTATCTTGGAGCATTACTATGAATTTATCCTCACAGATTCCTCTATACTACTTAGTTGAGCTCTGTATTTTAAAAATTTAGATAGTTAAGATCTCTTAGGCTATATTATTGATGACTTTTGAATGAGAGATCAAAAAATGAACAAAAATATTTCAGGATATACAAGATGAACTTCCTATTTATACGTGTTAGTTAGCTGACTTAATCAGAAATTAGATATGGAAAAGATAATTCGGCAGATGCCATAAAAAATGTTAAGAAACAAATATTTTAGCTTCTTTATTTATTTTTCCATGTAAATTATAATACCACTGAAAACACTATATATATGGTTGAAGGAATTGAGTCTTTGCAACCAAATGTCGTAGACCTTATATATTTGAAACTATGAAATATAAAAGGCTTATACCATCTGGACGCAAAGATATAAGGAATTAGAAAATTTGAGTTTGTGACAAAAACTCAATTCCTATTATTTTAATCTTCAGAGCTTTTTAGGTCAGTATCAAAGTTGCATATCTTTTGTACCGCGTGATAAAAACAAATTGAAATAATTCAAATTGTCATCTTCCTTCTTTCCTTGTAGAAGGTCACAACAAATTTCATAATTTGTCATGTTTTAGGTCTAAAAATAGATTTTCTAAACGGTGAACAGATAGATAAATTGTTTAGCCTAGGTGTTAGTACTCGCAGGTGTTAGAATAGTAAAGACGACTTTTTATGGTTGCCTGCATGTGAATTCTTGCATCTTTAACGTTTTCAAATATTTTAGTAAACCATTTAAATACTATAGACTAAGGCCAAATTTGTGGGTAAAAGCCCTGTATAAAAGGGCAAAGGGATTAAATACTATAAATTGGGCCAAACTCATATAGTTGGAATACGACATTTTATGTCCCAAGTGTTTAAAAATGATATATATATATATATATAGCATATATTTCACTGATCCAGGAGGAAGGAGAGCCCCTCATAGCCCCCCTGAACACGTCTCTGTATAATAACATAGACGTGTTTAAGAAATTTACAAACATATTTCGGAATGAAGTAAGATTTGAAAGAACAAAACAAAACAGTTTTAAAGATAAATTCGTATAGAATTAAAAGTGCCAGGCAAAATCAATGAATTGATTAAGCGACTATATAGTATTTACATATAAACTACATACAAACATTTATTAACTTTGACTGTTTTCTTATGGTTCAAAATATTTAAGATGACATTAATTATTTGTCTTTTTGTTTAACCTTGAAATAGTTTCCAATATTTAAATTTCAAAGAAAGGCTGCTTTTCATGCAATTCTCCTTGTTTGACCTTACAAAGTTTAAGTTTTGAGAAAAAATAACTATTATAATCTATTTCTCAAATCTATGGTTACCTTCTGCATTTAAAGGGAGTGACCGCGGCAATGATATGGTACACAGTGTCCCACGAAACTTGACAGTTGGTAAATAGTTTTGAATGTCGTCTTCCATGCACTGTCCTAGAAAGGCTGTTTGCAGTTTAATTTGTTTAAAAATCTTTTGCTCAAGTATTTTTTACTTTGAAATTAATTTTACTATAATATGACACCTAATATACATTGAAACCCATAGAGCTGGGGAATAGGAATACCACTGTTAGACTAAAGTAAATAATTTGCTTTATACCACTATATCAAATACATCTCATTTCTTAAATATCGTCTTCATATTCTACAGTTTTTATAGGTCTTTTTTCAAACAAACATTCACTAATCGATCCTTGTGTTTATTGAAAGCGTAATTTCAGGCGACCCTACATGCACGGATGACGGATGACTAGAAAAGTGATTAATTCTGATAATTTCTCCATTGTTTCTGAAAGGAAAAAATGCAAAAGTTACCTTTGCAGAGAAACCATAGATGAAAATAAACATTTAAAAAAGTAAAAGCATTAATATCTAATTCATACTTGATCAGACAAAGCTTTTATGTGTACCGTTGTAAATCGGACATTGCCATATGTGCATGGAGGGTCACTTGAAATTACGCTTACAGTCTCTTTAATATCGCTGGAAATTAACCATTATAAATTATGTCTTTGAAGATCTCGACACATATAAACATATACAGTATTAACTCCGTTCTGGTTCGTCAACTTGTATAATACAGCTTCTCAGTTCAGAATCAGATTCATGATTTACAGAACTATATTCCTAGTCAGCTTCTTCTTCTTCTTCAAGGGTCGCAGGGGAGATCTTTTTCTAGGTAAACCGTACTTTAACAAAGGGCTTTATTGTGAAATGTTCCTTCAAAAGTTTCTTCTGAAAGGTAAGTGTTTTCCTTTAAAAATATTCTGAAAGGTGGATGTTTTCCTTTAACAGTTTACTTAAAGGTGGATGTTTCCCTTTAACAGTATTCTTAAAGTTGGATGTTTTCCTTTAACAGTTTACTTAAAGGTGGATGTTTCCCTTTAACAGTATACTTAAAGGTAAATTTTTCCCTTTAACAGTATACTTAAAGGTAGATGTTTCCCTTTAACAGTATACTTAAAGGTGGATGTTTCCCTTTAACAGTATACTTAAAAGTGGATGTTTCCCTTTAACAGTATACTTAAAGGTGTATGTTTCCCTTTAACAGTATACTTAAAGGTGGATGTTTCCCTTTAACAGTATTCTTAAAGTTGGATGTTTTCCTTTAACAGTTTACTTAAAGGTGGATGTTTCTCTTTAACAGTATACTTAAAGGTAAATGTTTCCCTTTAACAGTATACTTAAAGGTAGATGTTTCCCTTTAACAGTATACTTAAAGGTGGATGTTTCCCTTTAACAGTATACTTAAAGGTGGATGTTTCCCTTTAACAGAATACTTAAAGGTGGATGGGTACCTTTAACAGTATACTTAAAGGTGGATGGGTACCTTTAACAGTATTCTTAAAGGTGGATGTTTTCCTTTAAAAGTTTACTTAAAGGTGGATGTTTTCCTTTAACAGTTTACTTAAAGGTGGATGTTTTCCTTTAACAGTTTACTTAAAGGTGGATGGGTGCCTTTAACAGTATACTTAAAGGTGTATGTTTCCCTTTCACAGTAAACTTAAAGGTGTATGTTTCCCTTTAAAAGGGGACTTTAATGGTATAGTTTCTCTGTAAAAAAAAACATTTAAAGTATCCATTAACGCGAAAAGGGTTCCTTAAGATTCTCTATAAATTGGGGGTTAAAGGTTTTAAAAGTACCCTTTAAAAAGTTTAAGTTCCCTGAAACCGGGTTTGATGGTTTGATTGATAGGTTTTTTTTGTTAAAAGTCAATGTTTCAATTAGAGCTTAGTAATTTCCTATCAAAAGCACTAATTGAACCCTCCTCTGTTTGGACAACTTCAGACTTTTAAATCGGATTATTTACAAATTCTTTCAAATTAATATTTTAGTTTTCTAGTTCGGCTAATACCTTATATAATATCAATTTCAAAAGAAGGAGATCACCACAGACTACACAGACTGCTCATACACTCTTCCTGTAGAGGCTGAGCAGGCCTATAGTGTCCCGGCAAGCAATGCTACGGTTCCATGTAATGTTTTTTTTGGTAGCTGACATCTCACGGCCACTCGTTGCATTCAGGGGTTAAGCTTTACAACTTTTAAATAAATACTCCAATTTTAAACATAAAACATAACGTTTATGAATATTGTCTATTTTCAAAGATTTTGCATTTCCTATTCAAAGGATCCTTAAATATCCCTGAATACAGATGTCTCCTGAGTGGTCGTGTACAGTACTTGTACACAATAGAACATGCTGTGGAAAATATCGCATATTATAGGTGTTAATCGATCTATGTAACTCTCTTATCTCTGTTAGCTGACATCTCACGGCCACTCGTTGCATTCAGGGGTTAAGCTTTACAACTTTTAAATAAATACTCCAATTTTTAACATAAAACATAACGTTTATGAATATTGTCTATTTTCAAAGATTTTGCATTTCCTATTCAAAGATCCTTAAATATCCCTGAATACAGATGTCTCCTGATTGGTCGTGTATCTGTACTGCTTACCTTCTGCTGCCTAAAATTCAGTCCGGCACGGTACTTCAAATTAACCGGAGTGTTTAAGTGATTAATATTGAATAAGAGGACACTTTTCAAGGTAGATTGGGAGAGAAGAAGAATTTTACTGATATCGCGTATGATCTGGATGTCAGCTATCTCGACGATGTAGAACTATCGGAAACAGGTTATATACATTTGGTTAGAGAAGGTTAAAGATTTTTTACCAGAAGTACGCATTAACCCCTCTGTAAACAGTCGGTGATCAATTCACCTCCCTGCTACAGATCGCCTCCCCATATTTGTATTAAAACCATTTTAACGCAATTTTATACATCAATTTCAATGTTATGCAAATTGCCGATGATTATCAATATATTCAGATTGGAAAAATAAATTAAAAATTATATATTCCTTGAATAGTTGTTTATTGGTGATAATGTGAAATCTAAAAACAGCTGTAAAATTCTGAAGACAAGCTGTAAAATTCTGAAAACAGTTGTATAATTCTGAAAACAGTTCTAAAATTCTGAAAACAGCTGTAAAATTGTGAGAACAGCTTTAAAATTCTGAAGACAGCTGTAAAATTCTGAAAACAGTTCTAAAATTCTGAAAACAGCTGTAAAATTCTGAAAACAGCTGTAAAGTTCTGAAAACAGCTGTAAAATTCTTTAAAACAGTTGGAAAATTCTGAAAATAGCTGTAAAATTCTGAAAACAGTTCAAAATTCTGAAAACAGCTGTAAAATTCTGAAAACAACTATCAATAAAATCAATCAAAAAACAGCTGTCAATTTCTGAGCAGAGCATTATCTGTATGACTTCCGTTGAAATTATCTCACACCAGCTGTTATTGAGTACAGCTGTCATTATTTTACAATAGATTTTATAAATCTTGTTTAACCAGTAAACATTTTGAATTTTCAGGATTTCTGGGAAAATTGCTTGATACTGAAATACCTGAAGAGGTGCAGGTTAAATTGTTTCTAATTGCTTGATACTGAAATACCTGAAGAGGTGCAGGTTAAATTGTTTCTAATTGCAGATTTATACTTTTCTAACATTATTTTCAAATATTCTATCATGTGCTGCTGTCTACTTGGAGATCGTTCCTATTCCGTTGATATTTAAAAATAAACGGTGAAAGAATTTAGATTTTTGACGGTTTTAATATTAAATATTGCTGATCATCTTTATTTACCTTCGCTGCTAATTTCTTTAAATCAACTGTTTTTATCGTTAACGAATTAAAAACTAACGTAATTTATCTGTTTATTTTCAAAAGCTACCATTGATTTTCAATTTTGTTAATTTTGTTAACAAAACGTTGTTCTTTAAAAGCAAATGGTATTTTATTGCCCCTATTTTTATGCTTTTTCTAGGGAAATTCCAATACCACTGCTACTTCTGGATCCAGGACCACCACTGCAACCGATACAAATGCTGCATCAAATACCACTGTTGCATCAAGAACCACAACTGTGTCAAGAACCACTGCTGCATCAAGAACCACTGCTCCATCAAGTACCACCTTTGCCCCTAGCATAACAACTCTAAAGCCTAGGATTGAAACCCCTACCAAGTATGGAATAGTCAAACAAAAGCTAGTGAGACAAGTCAAGAATAAGAACAGTTCTCTTGACTACCCGGAGAAAATACTCTGGGGTATCTTGTACAACCATGATAACCCGGAGATTGCTCCAACCCTGATCAGCGGTGTGCTCGGTGTCATTAATGATACTGAAAGAGTGTCCAAAGCTGAAACCTCTTTATCTGAACTTACTGAATCTGAAGAGGAGTTGGGTGAACCTATTGAGGATCTAACAGATGAAGATTTTCATGCTCCTGTGGAAAGATCACTGGGAAGAGTTGTTACAGCAAGATCTAAAGCTACAACCCAACCATCTTGGATCTCCCATGCGTCTTCTGCCAATTGGGAGACACACTCCCAATATTCAACGATCAAACTTAACTCAGTGCCATCAGGTGAGCGATCTCTTCCAAGTGAAACTAAATACATCTCGAAGGATTCTGGATCCAACAATGCTGATGAAGGTGTAAATTTCTATGTAAGAGGTGTCACTAAATCAGTTCCAAAAGGGAATAAATCTCCACCCAAAGCATCTACCAAAGCAAATAAATACTACATTAAAACGCCTGAATCAGCTGCCGGAAATATTTCCAAGTCTCATGCATCCAACAAAACTTCAAAAGTATATAAATCCAAGTCTCACATCTCAAGCAAAACTATCAACGGAACAAAATATAATTCCAGAAACAAAACTAATTCTCGTCATGAATCCAAATCGCATTCGTCCAACAGAACCTCCTCTGGCCGAAAAACTAAATCTCGTGCCGTCACCCAAGCTTCTAATGCAGAACAAAAACCCGCGTCTAGAGTATTTAAATATTTCCCTGTGACAGACACAACCAAACCACAAAATGTCACCGACAAACCTGAATTACGACCTAAAGCTAAAGTTGGTCTTGAAAGATCGTTAAAAAATAAAATAAAATCCAAATCTTCCAAGGAAAAGAGGATTAGAAAGCAGCTGAAGCAAGAAATCTCTTCAATCAGAGGAGTTCCTCCACCCCAGGTATATTTAATACAGGGATAAACTAAATAAATTAGAGGAGTTCCTCCACCCCAGGTATATTTAATACAAGGATAAACTAAATAAATGGGTTTCCTCTCAATTCTCTCTGAAAATTAAAAAAATGTCAACGAGGAATTTGTAATTTTGATCAACTATTTATTTCGAAAAATATGTTCTGACATTTAAAAAAATAATCGAGATGATCTTTTCATTTTTTTTCAAATTTAAAAAATGTGGAAGACATTTTTTTCCGACCTGAAAAGTCTTTAATTCTCATAATTTGTCCATTGCTTTTCATTAGCTAGGAATACGCTTAATTCAACTTCGCAGAGAAACCGCAAATGAAAATAAACAGTTTGTTTGAAGAAATAAACACATGGATATCTAATTCATACTTGATCAGACAAAGCTTTCAAAGTTACCGTTTTGAATCAGGCGTATTGCTATCTGTGCTTGGAGGCTCGCTTGAAATTACGCTTACAGTCCCTATAAAATTAATAGGAAAAACAGAATAGAAATTTTAAAAACCAAATCTCTATATCCGAGTAGATAATCCTGAACACTGCAAACTAAGAGTTTTGCAAACCCTAATCAACACTGGTATAGACGTACACACGACATTCAATCTATTCTGATGGAATACGATGGTAAAATGTCCGACCTACTGTTGTTTGAGCTATGGAATATTTCGTCAATTGTTTATGTTTTAACATGTTTGCTTTTAAATGTAGTAATTAAAATAAAGATTACATCACAAGGGATCCCATCAGAATAAATTTAGATCACTTTATTTGCATAAATGCCAATATGAACAAAAGTGAAAATAACGATAGTTCCGATGACGTTAGTTCAAGTGACTAACCACCAAATTAAATAACGTGTGGACATATCTGAAGTACAGATTTTCAACAAGGAGCAATTATGAAATATATTAATAAGAGTTCACTTGTACATGGCTTACAGTTACACATCGTCTAAATTATACTTTATAATGTTTAGGTTGAATAAATGTATACTAAAATTCAAAAGCTTAAGTAATACTATGCTGGTCGTCTTTGATAAACCAGTGCCGATTTGCGGGGTTTGCACTACTCTTGCAGGGTGTCGACAAACGGAGAAGGTCCAATTTATGCAACATTACTTGTACGACTTTGTTTAAATAAGTTAAATAAGTACAAGTAGTATTGCAATAGTTACATAAGATAGTTTTGATAAGTAAAAGATAAGCAATTTCTCCGATTTAAAATTCAAAACATTTTTGTTTTCTCAATAACTCTTGAGTAAAATGAGTTATGCTAAAAAAACATATAAGATTACAATCTTATTCGTGCAATTTTAGTTTAACGTATTTACCTCAGTTTAACATGTTTACCTTAATTTAACGTATTTACTCTAGTTTAACGTATTTACCTTAGTTTAACATGTTTACCTTAGTTTAACGTATTTACCTTAGTTTAACATATTTACCTTAGTTTAACGTATTTACCTTAGTTTAACGTATTTTCCTTAGTTTAACGTTTTTACCTTAGTTTAACGTATTTACCTTAGTTTAACATATTTACCTCAGTGTAACGTATTTACCTTAGTTTAACGTATTTACCTTATTTTAAAATATTTACATCAGTTTAACATGTTTACCTTAAATTAAAGTATTTACCTTAGTTTAACGTATTTACCTTAGTTTATCGTATTTACCTTAGTTTAACATATTTACCTTAGTTTAACATATTTACCTTAGTTTAACATATTTACTTTAGTTTAACATATTTATCTTAGTTTAACGTATTTACCTTAGTTTAACGTATTTACCTTAGTTTAACATATTTACCTTAGTTTAACGTATTTACTTCAGTTTAACATATTTACTTTAGTTTAACGCATTTACTTTAGTTTAACATATTTACCTTAGTTTAACATATTTACCTTAGTTTAACGTATTTACTTTAGTTAAACATATTTACCTTAGTTTAACGTATTTACCTTAGTTTAACATATTTACCTTAGTTTAACGTATTTACCTTAGTTTAACATATTTATCTTAGTTTAACGTATTTTCCTTAGTTTAACATATTTACCTTAGTTTAACATATTGACCTAAGTTTAACATATCTACCTTAGTTTAACGTATTTACCTTAGTTTAAAGTATTTACATTAGTTTAACGTATTTAACTTAGTTTAACATATTTACATCAGTTTAACGTATTTACCTTAGTTTAAATATTTACCTTAGTTTAACGTATTTACTTTAGTTTAACGCATTATTTCATTATTTTTTTCAGAAGACAGCCCGTGAACCGTCTGGAGTAGTTGTAGCAGAAGTTTAATTATTAAATGTCGTCTTTTTAAACTAAAAGAATAATAAAGATTTATCTCAAGAAGAATTAGTAACCCGAACTTGCCGAAATGTTCGTAATTTTGGACAAAATTTTCGTCATTTTTAACATAATTTGCGTACTTTAGAACAGTTCGCAATTTTGAATAAAAAATTGTCATTTTAACAAAATGTTCGCAATTTGGAACAAACTGTTTGTAATTTGGAACAAAATGTTTGTGATTTATAACAAAATATTCGTAATTTGAAACAAAATGTTCGTAATTTAGAATAAAGTATCCGTAATTTGGAGCAAAATGTTCGTAATTTGTAACAAAATGTTTCTTAATTTGGAACAAAATGTATGCAATTTTTAACAAAATGTTCGTAATTTTGAACTTAATGTTCGTAAATTTGAACAAAATGTTTGTAATTTCGAATAAAATTATCATAATTTCCCATTCGTTTCGGTAATTCTCTATTACGATTAAAGTGCTAGGGTTTCGCGGATTTTGGAAACGATTTTTCAAAAACAATTATAGGGGGAATGTAAGTTGTTTGTGTTTTCAGGAAATTAATTTTGTATCTTGGTATTTTTAATTTAGTTTTATTCTAAAACTTCTAAGTTAATAAGATAAAATAAATACAGCTGAAACAATCCATTTTATCGCTATAATTGTATAGGCTATAATTTAAATTAGTATATTATTGTTTGTACCGTGTATATGCAGAAGAGATCTTAATATTTTTGAAGCAACCTTTATTACACCCTTGCTTAGACTAGACAAGGTTTTCAGGAATATACCTGCCCAGCCAGGGATAAAAATTCTTCCCAAGTACAGTCAGAATGTATCCATGGTATAAGAAGAATTATATTTATGTAGAGTTGCTATAAGTTTTTAGTTCTGGCAAAGCTCGCTTTGCAGTAACCCGTATAATCTCACCCATTAGGTCTAAGAGTTGATTATGATTTAAACAAATAACTATTGAGTCTATTGACGTTAACAACAAATGGTTATTTAGTACTTACTGTCTTAATCCTTATTATTTTTGACTGTTTCTAGTTCAACTTTCAACTTGTGATTTAGAACCTTCCTGAATATGTGCAATTAAGAGTTATGAATAAATGTTAATACAACATGTATATGTCATTCATATACAGTGAGCCGTTTGAAGATTTGCCAACTTCAACAATTATAGTAGGTTAGAGGGACCAATAAATCTGTAGAATAGGAAGACGACAGTTATGCTTCTCAAATTATAATTTAAATATTGTCCAAATAATTGTGCAGTGTACACAGATCCAAGTTGATTTTCATAAAACTGATAAATATTTTTTAAATCCAGTTTAAGATGAAATAACAAAATCGCATTTTAACAGAGGTTGTATTTTTATTAGATAGAAAAATTTATCTAAAAATATTTCCTAAATTTCCCTAAATTATCAGTGGTTAAATGGGCAATTTTTGTAAAAAATTGGCCAGTAAAAAATACTAAAAATATTTTATTTCCGATTAAAAATTAAATTAAAGATTTAAAGTTTTCAAAAACAACTCCATTTCTGAAAAAAATGTATTGGGAATTTTAATATCCGTATTTACATTTCGAAAAAAATGATTGTTTTTCTCTGAGTTGAGATTGTAAATTGATCCAAACCAAATAATAAAAGATTAAAAAAGCTTATCCGCTGTAAATGTAAATGTCAAGGTTTTTAACAACAATGAATGCATTTTAATAATGTTTTAAGCCTTGAAAATAAATCTTCTAAAAACATTTCGTAAAGAGAGTTACCGGCAATGTACTGTAGTGGAACTGAGAATGTAGTTTTGTGGAACTATTTGAGACCTATTAAACGTTTTCACTGTGCATTTTTGTTCAGCAAGAGTGCAAATTCAATCTTTAAGATCCTCATAGATTGTTCATTTTTGAGGGATGATTTTGAGAATCGGTTTTAAAAAATTATTCAATAACGACGCGAAAAGTGTAAAAGAAGTTCTAGAGTAAACTTATTAGTTGTTTAGGAACAGGTTGAGAAAATAAAAATTAACTATTATCATCGAAAATTAGGAATCTTATTCAGTTATTGGTTTCTATAATATCTCATTGTTCAGAAAAATTTTCTTTAGATTTCCTAATATTTTTACTGAAAAGACGACATTTGAAGAATTTGAAGAAATCTGCGAACAAATTCATAAGAAATAAGAACTAATTGATTCTAACATTGATTTATTAAGGAAATTTTAATCGAGAAATTTGTTCCTAAACGTTTTTATTAGTTTATTATAGAATTTGTTTACATTCGATTATCAAAACGTAACCACCCAAATGGATGGTTTTTAACGTTGACTTTGCGCTCAAACTTAGTAATTGTACATAATTAAAACGTTTTACATGTCTCAAATGAATCTTAGAAAATTTATCCACAATACAACATTCTCAGTTTAACTGTTATACATTGCCGGTCACTCCCTTTAAACATTATATCTGGTTAGAATACTCTGGAACATCTGGAAAATATTTTCAATGCCTTTACAGAATTCAAACATTTGCTAAACTTTAAATTAATTCCTAACATTGCGTGTCAAATTCTAATTTGACACAAATTATTGAAGAGCCTGATTAAATTAAAAATAGCTCTGAGAAATTTTCAAAACGAGTTCAAGGCAAAAATTAAAAAAAAACGGAAAAATTCACAAAACGAGTTTAAGGTTAAAATCTAAAGATCAGACTACTGAACAGAGGGGCAGAGTAAAAATCAGACTACTGAACAGAGGGGCAGAGTAAAAATCAGACTACTGAAGAGAGGGGTAGAATAAAAATCAGACTACTGAACAGAGGGGTAGAATAAAAATCAGACTACTGAACAGAGGTAGAATAAAAATCAGACTACTGAACAGAGGGACAGAATAAAAATCAGACTACTGAACAGAGGGGTAGAATAAAAATCAGACTACTGAACAGAGGGGTAGAATAAAAATCAGACTACTGAAAAGAGGGGTAGAATAAAAATCAGACTACTGAACAGAGGGACAGAATAAAAATCAGACTACTGAACAGAGGGGTAGAATAAAAATCAGACTACTGAACAGAGGGGTAGAATAAAAATCAGACTACTGAACAAAGGGACAGAATTAAAATCAGACTACTGAACAGAGGGGGAGAGTAAAAATCAGACTACTAAACAGAGGGGCAGAGTAAAAATCAGACTACTGAACAGAGGGACAGAGTAAAAATACTTTTTGTGTTTTTGTTAACGAGAAACAAATATAATCATTATGAAAAATAAATACTATAATGCGTAATATTATATCTATAAAAAAATTAAAAGGCATAACATTTGTAATTATATTTATTATAGATATATCTGACTACAGAGATAATTTTCTTTAACATTTTTTTAAAATATATATATTTTTATACTTCTATCCGTGCTGAGTAGTTAAAAACTATAGCTCTAACGTTGATGCAACGTGGTTCATGAACTATATGTGAATTAAAACAAATTATTAACTATCTGAAGTGCCCAGCATTGCCCGTGGAATTTTCTTGAAACGAATTTTGAAAAAAAATTTCATCTTAAAAATAATTTAAAACTTTTCTTCCCGAAATTTTGAAGACATTTTTTTCCCCGCATTTTTTACCCTTTGGGGTACTCAAAGGTTCCCTCAAAAAATGTCAACCCATTCGGTCCAGCCGTTTGGCCAGCTATAGCTGACATATATACAAACAAATTGATATGAGCGAATTGAGCTTTATTATATAGATTTAACCCCAAAAAGATTGCCATTTACAACAGTATTCAAATCGTTAAAAAAAACATCCAATTTTAAACATGATTGCACTGTTCTTTGTAAAAATATGCAAATATTTGTCTATACAAGATCAATACTAAGATACAAAAAAAGATAAGATAAAAAGCTGATTACCTTCCTCAAACTCTAATGTTCTATGTTTATAGATCTGTTATATTTCAAACTTTGATTTCAGTCAGATCAAGAACTATTCAAATATTAAAGGTTTTCACCACCATCAGGTTACAACGTTTTGGATTAGATAATCAGAGTTTGAGACGAGTAATCAGTTCATATACTGTTGAAATTAAATAACTGTAGATTATTGATTATTTAAATATATGATATAAGAAACGTGAAGGAAACGTAATATGTGTGGTGTAATAAAAAAAATACTCAATTATTTACAGAATTCTTAATCATCTTCCTCTTTTTAAAATAACCATTGTAAAATTTCACTTAAAGTTCAAATATACAAAAATTTCTCTATTTCGGATGGAAAACAACCTAAAGTGGGAGGCCATGAAGTGAAGAAATATCTTTTCATGTTTATTTTCAGTTTTTTTTTCTTCACTTTTTAGGTTCTCAATATAGAATGCACATAGAGTTTTTTTAGTTCTATAAAGGAATTGAGTATTTGCCACAAACTCTGAATTTATAATCTTTATATCTTTGGAACCCAATGTCGTAAATCTTTGTTATTTCAAACTTACATTATTTGATCTAACAGAATTCATAGTTTAAAATATCTAAGGTCTACGACATTGGAATCCAAAGATATAGGGTTTAGAAAAGCAGAGTTTGTGGCAAAGACTCAATTCCTTTTAAATGTTTGAAGGTTTAACTTTTATTACTAAATTAAAAGGAAAAAGTAAGTTTTTGCTCGCATGCATCATATATATACATTATTAGACTATAAATTGAATCTTAATTTTCTATTTCACTATAAGTACACATGAGGTGTTCCTAAAAAATTCAGTAGTTGATAGAAAACCTTAACTGTGAATTAATTTGTTTTTTAGACATATTAAATAATTGATGAATATATTACATTAAAAAACCATAATTTCAATATTACAAAAAAGGAAAATCGCTTCAAAAATAAGGCTCTAGCAACAACCACTGTGTTTTTAGACACCCTGTAAATATTCCAGTTTGATCTGGTAACCACTGTATGATTAAATCTAACCTGCATAGCTGGCCGACCAATTATATTTTCCTTCCAGAGTTGAGTATTTTCAAACTGCTGATTAGATGTCCTAGAATTTAACAATTATTAAATAAAATAAAAACTTATTTAAATGAAAGACGATTTTTATGAATTGTTCCTATTTGTACAGTTCACCCCAATTTCAAAAAGATTAAAAAGATGAAAAGATTAAAAGGATACAGATGAAACCCTGCACATTTTTTCAACGATTTTTAAAGAAGTATGAATGTTTGATTCACAACGGTACAGTAAACACCTTCATCTGCATTACAAGGAGGATTATATAGTGGTTTTCTAATTTTGATTTTATTTCCGACAATCCCCATTTCTATTTTATTTTTATATACTAAATGATTAAAATGGTTTTGGAACCAGATTTAATGAATAACAAAAAATAGCTGATCCGCACAGATTAGGTTGAACCACTTTTCAATTTTTTTCTTGTCCGCAGGGTTCAGCTGAGTAGAAGTGGTTGAACTGCGTTGTTCCCTTTCATTAAAGCTGTATTTTCTGTATTTTTTGTATTGTATTTTCTGTATTTGTTTTTTGTTTAAAATTTGGTTTAAGCTGGAAAAAAAGTTTTGTTTAAGATTTTTCAATTTAATTTAGAAAATGAAGTTTTCCAGTCTAATGATCAATATTAAATCAATTTAAACTTTTTTAGAAAGTTTGAAAAATAAATAATGTTAATATTCAATAGCAGTATATTGAGGATTTATGGATATTTATAAATAGGATACAAGGTTAAAGGTTAACCCACCAAGACTTCAGGACGACTGTACGTAATTTTTATTCCCGAAGCTTTACACGTCTCATTATATTTTCCATGTCTCATTTTTTTGGGAGGGAGGGGGCAGTAACCCTGTAGTAATCTGTATCGTGCATTTAGATATTGAAAACTTTTCATCTAATGCTAGTTCGGACTATCCAGGACACTTCTTGAAAGGGAGAGTGGTATGGCGATTCACAACGGTTCTCTCAAAAACTTTGGACACTCTCTTGATAAAGGAGATATTCATTTTTAACTCTTTTAAAAATCATTATTATCAATTGTGGTTTCTTTGCAAAAGTTAGAATAACGACGATGGCTTCCAAAATTTTAATCCGATAAAGGTTTAAAGGGTCCGTTGTGAATCGGACATGACCCTCTTTCAATTAAAGGACACACGATTACGATGATTTAATACAAAAATGTATTTAATACAACTAGGTTATAGTATATAGATAATGATGTACGCTAATCCTTTACTAATTGTACAGGCTATGTACTTCACTTCCAAAGGTCAATCTGTATATTACGTTACAGTAATCGGGGGTGTTTTCCGAAAATATTGAAATGGAGAATTTGTTTTCCATGTAAGTATTAAAATCCACTACTCCTTTATCGTGTGCAGGATTCAAATTTTCACAGGAAGACGTACATTTACATCCTTTTACAGAGCAATATTTCATCGTTAACAAACTGTTCTGAGAAAACTGAGTAAAATTCAAGATACAAGTGTACACTCAGGCTAATACACACGGAGAGGTAGCTAAGATCCAGCCCCCTGATTTGATATTATACATTCCAATATATTCATAAATTTGTAATTTTCCTTACCAAATTTTTTTATAAAAATTAACCAAATATTGTCTTTAAAGTTTTGAGATGATAAAATTTTAATTGAAAACACAACTTTATAAAAAGTCTTAAAAAAGATTTCTTCCCCCCCCCCCTCCTCCTCTTCTCCCTTGATTATATAATCAAAACTAAAACTATTGTTCAAAATCTCAGCAAATCATTTTTTTTAAATTATCAAAATTAAAATTTTTAAGTTGACAAAACCAAACACTGGGTTTCGAAGATTGTGAAATGAAAGAATTGTTAACTATTATATGATTTGGTCTAAATTAAATCATTGCATAATATATTTATAATTTCAGACCATCATACAATCAAGGTCTACTTTTTTTCTAACAGTTTTATGAAATGTGGACTTAATTTTCTAGCATGTTTTACAGTTTACTTGGACCAGCTATATACATCTTTTTTTGGTATTTCATTGTTCATTTTGCGATATGTTCTAATTTTATCAGGTTTTTATTCTTTTAGATAATTTAACAAAGATAAAGGGATTAGAAAATCAGAGTTTTTTTGGCAAAGACTCAATTCCCTATCTTGTGAGTATACTGCAGCACTAATTTCTATTTTGTTTAATGAGTTTAATTAACTGATTTTATCTACGATTACTGGATTTTATCTTTTTATCAGTTTTGAGCAAATTCTGAATAGTCAATTGTATAATTAACTAAAATCTTATTCAATATTCATACAGAGTAACCCTCCAAAAATGAGACATGAGCGACCATACAAAAATGAATTACTCTTTTTTGTTATACAAGGCTTTTACAGTAACAAATTTAGGTTTTAATTGTTACTTTTCGAGACTTCCTTTTACAGCGTACTCTGCGTTTAACAAAAAATTTGTGCATTTTCAAAAGTAATTATAAATGTCTGATTTGTTGAGGGTCTTATGTTAAAAATCTTAACTGTTCTCGTTAATATCTTTAATTACAATTTTTAAACAAATGCTCACTGAGATTTTACAATGATCTGAATCAATGGATTTTACTTCCAGCGCAATCAATTATGTTTCTTGGAAAATATAGAACACTTAAAAAGTTTTATTCTTATTTCTATCTTTATCCCTCTGGTAACTTGTAATCATATTTTTAAAATCTTCACACAAGGATTCAGTTTGGATTTAGTGCATTTCTTGGCCTAAAGCATGGAAATAATTTAAAGAGATATGATTAAAAATCCAATGCAGCTGTCAAGATTTGGGGGTAAAAATATAAGTCAAATATATATTTCACTGTTTAGTAGGGGGGTGGGGGTAATTTTTAAAGGGAGTGACTAGCTGACTAGATATGGTATTTGAGCTGAGAGTGCAAGCATTGAAGAGAATTTTCTTAGAATTCATTTGACGTTCCTAAGCCTTTTTTACGGTGCTTGATTGATGAATAATAGCAGAAATTATAGACTTGGGTTTTTTAAAAATGACGATGAAGTTTAAACCTAGAAAACACGCCCACATTGTTGATCATGGAGAAATGCGCGTTTTTAAACTTGTTAAATTGTATAAACCGACCTGCACCTGAGGACTTTAATTGTATAAACTGACCTGCACCTGAGGACTTTAATTAGTCCTAAACTAAGGATTGCTGTGTAGGACACAACGGAGCTAAATACAAACAGGAGGCAGGCGAGGACCCACAGGGACAAAGCTGTTACACCCTGAATAAATTGTATTAATACCAATATGCGCATTTGCCGCAATTTGTTTTAAGAGAAAGTGCTAAAACATTTTACAGAACGGAAAACCCGGCTTTTTCTAATCTGGGATTTTTCTGAGCAGAAAATGTATTGCAAAAGTTGTAAAAGTTGTAAAAGTTGTAAAAGTTGTAAAAGTTATAAAAGTTGTAAAAGTTGTAAAGGTTGTAAAAGTTGTAAAGGTTGTAAAAGTTGTAAAAGTTGTAAAGGCTGTAAAAGTTGTAAAAGTTGTAAAAGTTGTAAAAGCTGTAAAAGTTGTAAAAGTTGTAAAAGTGATGCAATTTAAAACAATAAAAATGCGCGTAATTGTTTGATATTTAGTTCGGGTTCGGTTTCCATAGAATCGATAAAAAACAACGGTGTGAATTGTGAATTTGTGAAACATTTGTACATTTCATAGCTTCTACTGCGTGACTGCACATCAGTGCCATGGGTGGTTATAAGCTGTTTAATCGCGATTTTTTTTATGGGTTTTTTTAATTGTGGGAACCTAAAGGAAACCTAAAGGAAACCTAAAGGGAACCTAAAGGAAATCTAAAGGAAACCTAAAGGAAACCTAAAGGGAACCTAAAGGAAATCTAAAGGAAACCTAAAGGAAACCTAAAGGAAACCTAAAGGAAACCTAAAGAAAACCTAAAGGAAACCTAAAGGAAATCTAAAGGAAACCTAAAGGAAATCTAAAGGAAACCTAAAGGAAATCTAAAGGAAACCTAAAGGAAACCTAAAGGAAACCTAAAGGAAACCTTAAGGAAACTTAAAGGAAATCTAAAGGAAACCTAAAGGAAACCTAAATGAAACCTAAAGGAAACCTAAAGGAAACCTAAAGGAAACCTAAAGGAAACCTAAAGGAAACATAAAGGAAACCTAAAGGAAACCTAAAGAAAATCTAAAGGGAACCTAAAGGGAACCTAAAGGAAACCTAAAGGAAACCTAAAGGAAACCTAAAGGAAACCTACAGGGAACCTAAAGGAAACCTAAAGGAAACCTAAAGGAAACCTAAAGGAAACCTAAAGGAAACCTAAAGGAAACCTAAAGAAAACCTAAAGGAAACCTAAAGGGAATCTAAAGGGAACCTAAAGGAAACCCAAAGGGAACGTAAAGGGAACCTAAAGGAAACCTAAAGGGAATCTAAAGAGAACCTAAAGGGACTGCAAGCGTAAATTCAAGTGAGCCTCCATGTCAAGATTATTATGCCCGATTCACACCAGTACCGTTGAAACCTTTATCTGATCAATAATGCGGAAAATAACGTCGTTTTTCTAGGTTTAAAAGTGTTTATTTCTGATTATTTTTAAGTGTTTTCCTGCGCTAGGAAAGGGCAATCCACTTTTGTAGTGAAATCACTGAAAATAACTATTTTTTAAATCCTAAACGTCTGTATCTAATTCATACTTGAAGTGTACCGTTGTGAATCGGGCATTGGCATCTATCAATCGAGGGTGACTTGAAATTACGCTTCCGGTTCCTTTCAGTTTATAAAGGTATTTTCTAAAACATTTTGAAGCTTTCTTTCCCGTTTTCATCAAAATGTTCAAACCAAGGAACCACATTTTTGCCACAAACTTTAATTTTTCTAATCCCTTAATCTTTGCAACCTAATGGTGTAATCTTTTGATATTTTAAACTTATGCCTGTTGATTTAACAGAATATCAAAGGTCTACTTTAACGGGTCGCAAAGATAAACGGATTTTTAAAATCAGAGTTTGTGGCAAAAATTCAAATCTTATAAATTCATTAATATCGAACTTGAATTAGAAATTTTAAACTTTTTCAAGATTTTCTTGATAATCAGCAAAAACTATTGCTAAATTAAAACTGTATATTAACTTGTCAGAAAGTTTGAAAAATGACTATTCAAATTTAGAAATTGAGTTTCTGTCACAAACTCAAATTTTCTAATTCCTATATCTCAACAAACAAGTATCGTAGATTTTTGATACTTCAAACAATAAATAATGTTAGATAAGATTGTTCTAGTTGAAATATCAAAGGTTTAAACCAACAGGTTGCGAAGATATAAGGATTAAAAATTTGAGTTTGTGACAAAAACTCACTTCCTTTGTATTCATGGAAACTTTTGAAAATTACTGGATTTTCTTAAAAACGGTTTTTATGGAATATTCTATTTAAATGTGGAATGTCAGATTCACTGTAAACACCAGCTCATTTCAAGTATCGGGCCCACTTTTAATCAGCTAGAGCAAGTTATGAAACAAGGCAAACCGGGACGGTACTTTTTAATCCCTTTCCTAATCAAGAATGAAGAATATGTTCTTGTTTTTTCTCTGGCAGTTTTCAACCGTGGTTTCTGAATATAAATGACTTGCGGATTCATGAGCAAAAAAATTTAAGAAAATTGACAGAATTTAACACTTTTAGGTAAAAATCGACCATATCTTTTTCATGTCCCTGTGATAATGGCAGGTACACTTGTGAATCACACATGTCACTCAACAAATAAAGGTTCATTTAAACTAGAGAGTCTAGAATCGAGTGAAATTTTATAAAATATTTTTTGTTTTATCAATAATTTTAATCTGTTTTATTAAATCTTTAGGTTTAGCCAACTTAAAACTAGTATAACTTAAAAACCCTTAAACAAAAAAACATTTTCAAAGTGTTACAAGAATAAGTAAAACCTTTATTTCACTCTCTATTATTTAATAATATTCTTGTTAAAAAAAATGTAAAACCATTTCATCTTTTTCTTAACACAATGAGGTTGTCCTAAGGCGGTTTCTTTGACAATGAGATTTTTTCATAATCCTGTTTTTTTTTTGGTTTCTAAGTAAGAGAGTTGTTTCCTTACAACATTTTTATTCTATTTATTTTTCTTAATCATTTAAACATTATCCACAAGATTCTTGTTTGTTTGCATAACTTAGTAAATTAAATAAATTTGAGCTACTTCGCTGAACAACCTTTATACTGGCGCGGTTCAAATTTGAACCACCGATTCAAAGTTAAAGATTGAGGAAGGATTTAATCGTGATTCAAATTTAAACCGGCGAGATGGTAGGCACTATGCAGTTCCAAGGACATTTTTCGTAAATTGTAGTTTACATTTTTCAAGATTTATAATATGGGCTTTAACACCATAGATTTTAATTTTTAACCTGTAAAAAGAAACTTCTCGAAAATTGGGAACAGTCCTATATATAATTATTGTACCCTTTGTCCCGTGATTTTATTTTTATTTTCAAAGTCCCCGGTTTCTTCAGTTAGAACTTAGTTTTTTGTTTTTAAGATGAAAATAAGAAAATACGATAAATCTTAAATATAATAATACGTACTATGTATTTTTTAAAATTTAAAGAAAATTTTTCCACAAAAAAATTCATTTATTTTTCCCAACTTCAAATTAAGTGATAAAAAAACCTAAAAAATGTTCCGATATGTGTGAGGGAAAAATTATTTTTGAGAGGGGGGGAATATATAACCCTAGAGGGGGGGGAATATATAACCCTGTGGTTATTGAAATCCTACTCACTACCTGTACTGGCACCTAAAGGTTAAAAAAGTTTTTTAATGTTTTAGTTTTTTCTACTAAAAAATGTGATTTTTTTGCCATTTCAAATATTTTTAACCCTATTCCAGCTGGGGGGGGGGGGTCCCTGTGACCCTGGTCTGACGTTTTTTGGAGATATCTCAAAAAGTATTGGTCTAAGGCTGTTTAAATTTTTTGACTTACTCACGTACATACTACATAGTCCTCAGGCATACTGCCAGAATTCCAGAATTTGCACATTTTCCGTTTTCCTTGGATACAAATTTAGCCTTTGAAAGTTTTGCAAATTTTTTTGCATATTTGAATTCGCCGTGTCAAAGGCTTTCAAAAATGTTTTTCATTTTTCGCGCATTTTTTGTTTGTGCACATTTTTTGCTTAATAGCTTGATATTGCAATAAATATTTGAAATTTTTTAAAATATGCAATTTTTTTGCAGATGATTAAAGTAGAGCCCAAGGCCTTTCCAACAGTGTATCCAATGTTTAAAATTTGTATCACATATTAAATTAAAATGTAAAAACTGTGCAATTTAAATTGTTTTTAATTAAATATTTAGTCAAATATATATCTATCTATCTATCTAATTTTTCCCCAGACTATCAAAAAGGGTAAACCAGACGTCAGCCTGAATAGGGTTAGAGCCCTCAATAATCGAGTATTCAAATTGAAATTAGTTTCATCTATTTTGGATTCAACTAAGAAAGAGTAAAGCATTTTCAATGATTAACTTGTGAAATTTTCCAATATTTCCAATAAGTAAGAAGATGGTTTAAAGATGGGTGTATAATAGTATAGATTTCATAAATAAACAGTTGATTTCATATTTTTAAACTCTTTTACTAACAGTTACTAGATCCAAGCATTTTAAAACTGAGAATAAAATTGAATTATTAGAAATCTTCTAAAGAAAAAATAATCTATAAAATAAGATAGATGGATCTTTGAAAAAGTGTTAATTGTTAATTGCAATTATAGCCTAGCCTGTAATTGTACATAATTTAGTTTCTCCCTCTAACCTGCTGTAGACCTTTTGCCACAAATAATGTGTACCTTCGGAAAACTAATTCCTTCAAAACAGAGTTTTATGAAGATGATTTCACCTTAACATTTGGAGAGATTTCATTTGCAGAATTGAAAATGTTGACTAAGCAAAGGAGGATTGTAATTAGGAGTCCCATTCTTCCAGCAACCACCTGAACAAGGATATATTAGGAGTATCCTACCAGCAACCACCTGAACAAGGATATATTAGAAGTATCCTACCAGCAACCATCTAAACAAGCATATATTAGGATTATTCTACCAGCAACCATCTAAACAAGGATATATTATGAGTATCCTACCAGCAACCATATAAACAAGGATATATAAGGAGTATCCTACCAGCAACCATCTAAACAAGGATATATTAGAAGTATCCTACCAGCAACCATCTAAACAAGGATATATTAGGAGTATCCTACCAGCAACCATCTAAACAAGGATATATTAGGAGTATCCTACCAGCAACCACCTGAACAAGGATATATTAGGAGTATCCTACCAGCAACCACCTGAACAAGGATATATAATGAGTATCCTACCAGTAAACATCTAAACAAGAATATATTAGAACTAACCTTCCAGCAAAAATGGTATTTCAGGAAAAAATAATTATGGCTTATGAATGAAAAGAATTCTTTTATTCTAGGATATTCTTTTTTGGTTTAATTGAAAATATGAAAGAAAGAGAAATAATTTAAGAATATTTTTAACGAAGGTGATGTAGTCTAAATAGACTTTTTTTAAAGAATATAAACTATAATTCCCAGCAACAACTGTTATTTTAGTCCATGGTGCTACAATGATGGAAAAAGAGATAAACCTTGAAATTGACATTTTTGCGGAATTTCTAGCTTTCGTGGATTTCTATAAAAAAGTATTAATACCTTCTCATCGAAACCATCTATATATAAATTTGGCTTGTCTGTCTGTTTTTCTGCTGTTTGTATCCAATAAACGACAAAACGTCTGAACCGATCGGGCCAAAAATTTGTGTGGGACATCTCGTGACAACAGGGAAGGCTTATTAATGATAAAAATTTTTAAAAAATGTGTTTTAAAGGTTTTTAATTTTGTAAATAAAATTAAATTCTTGAAAATTCGCGAATTTTTTTTAAATCCGCAAAATTTTTTCTTCTTTGTTTTAAATGTAAACAAAAAGAACATGTTCACAATTTAAATAGAAGATGAGCGCGAAGCGCCCTAAAAGCTTAGTATATTTTAAAGGCATTGTAATGTTTAAGAACCAATGATATTTCGTTACGAAAATGTTAATAACAATCTCTTAGTTTACCTCTGGAGGAATGACAAATGAAGCCCAGGAGACGATTACGAAAAGAGAAGAAGGAAGATAGTAAACCTAAAATAGATATTATAAATCTACCAAACACTATATAAACACCTTGTATAATGTATTAATTTGTTATTCACTAGAATACAATAACAACATACATTAAATAAAACATCGCATTAGTGCAAATATTACACACAAAAAATAACAAGATAACAGGTTTTTCCAGAATACCAGGATTTCAGAAAAATTGGATACCAAGATACCTGAATACCTGGATACCAGGATACCAGGATACCAGGATACCTGGATACCTGGATACCAGGATACC